GGTCGTGGCAGCCCAGGGCTGCCCACAGGTCCTGGTGAGCCGGGGGGGCCCCTCTCTCCCGCAGGCCCCCGCGGCCCCACGAGGCCCATGGAGCCACTCTTCCCCGGCCCCCCGGGCATGCCGGCTCTGCCCTTCTCCCCGGGGTAGCCTCTCTCACCAGGGGATCCAGCTTCGCCCTACGGAGACATGGAGAGGCAAGGCTCAGCCCCGGCACCCCCGGCCCCACACGGGGCTGCGGGGTGCCGGGGATGGCCGCAGTGGCACAGCCGGGCTCTCCCCTCACCTTCTGGCCAGCCGGTCCCACGATGCCAGGTTTTCCTGGGGGACCCTGGGGAGACACAGAGGAGAGGGGTGACAGGGATGTCCCCTGTGCAGGCACCCCGGGGACACCATGGCCAGGCCAGAGGATGCCATGGTCCAGCCCCGGGTCCTGCCAGGCAGGAGAGCCGCAGAGCCCCCTGCTCGTACCTCTTTACCGACGGGTCCGTCTGGTCCCTGCTCCCCCTGTGAAATCAAAGCGGGACAGCATGAGAGGGCGACCGGTGCGGTACCGGTCTCAAGGTGTGCACTGCTTGAGGGTGCAGGGGTCTGCACTGCCCCCCCGCACCCCGCTGCACTCACCGGTGGTCCCGGGTGGCCCGGGGGTCTTGGCTGTCCTGGCATCCCTGGCAGACCTCGCTCCCCTGTAGAGCCCCGCTCGCCCTTCAGACCCTGCGGGGAGGCAGGAAGGAGCCCAGAGCGTCGGAGTCAGCGCAGGATGGGGACAATGACCCCCGAACCCACCCTCCGAGGCACCCACCCGACCCCATCCCAGCCCCCGCATCGGGGGCTGTGACGGGGCAGGGTCCGGCCCCAGGCAGTACTCACCACTCCGGCGAGGCCGGCGGGACCCGGCTGCCCTGGGCTGCCGGGGGGGCCCTGGGAGGCAGAGAGAGGGGTGTCAGCTGGGGGGGGGCCATGGTGATGCTCCCACTCCCTGCGCCGGAGGGAGGCCCCGCCATGCTCCCTGCCACGGGCACCGTCCTGGTATGCCGTGGGGGGCAGGTCCAACTTACGATGTGCCCTGGGGGTCCCTGACGACCTTGGGGTCCCATGGGTCCAGGGTCACCCTGAGGAAGGCAGTGTGATGAGGGGCAGCATGGGGTCCATCCAGCTCAGGGCTCCTGTGCCCACCCAGCCCCTTGCTCACCTCTGCTCCCGGCCGGCCTGTGCTCCCCGGGGGGCCGGGTTTGCCACAGTCACCCTAAGAGGAGGAAAGGACACCATGGGCAGCGCAGTGTGTGGAGACCCTGGCCCAGGACCGAGGTCCCCGGGGCTGTTACCACCAAGTGTCCCCCAGCACCACCATCGCTCACCTTCGGTCCTGGGAGACCCGGGTGCCCTGTTTTCCCCTTGAAGCCCTGGAGAGAGAAAACAGCTGCGTGGGGGTCCCGGCTCCCGCAAGCAGACCGAAGCAGGCGACCCCAATCCCAGTCTCCGCTGGGGACCCCGACTTGCAGTGCCGGGCCAGGGGGGATGCCTACCCACCCCCTCAGGCTCAGCGTCCCCAGGAGCACGCGGTGGGACAGTCCCGGCTCAGGGGACACCCGGTCCTGGCTGCAGGGACATGCCAGGCACAGAGCACCAGGGAGAGGTGACAAGGAAAGCTGTCACTCACCGGAGGACCCATCATCCCTGGTGGCCCGGGGGGGCCGGGGTCACCCTGGGGAGAAAGAGACATGGGTTGGGGGTGTCCTGGGGGGGTTGCAGGGTGTTTGCCCCCCCCTGCCAGCACCTGGGAGAGCCCTGGAGCCTCACCCGCAGCCCCGGCTTGCCGTCCTTGCCGTCCAGTCCTCTGGGGGGCCGGGTTTGCCACAGTCACCCTAAGAGGAGGAAAGGACACCGTGGGCAGCGCAGTTTGTGGAGACCCTGGCCCAGGACCGAGGTCCCCGGGGCTGTTACCACCAAGTGTCCCCCAGCACCACCATCGCTCACCTTCGGTCCTGGGAGACCCGGGTGCCCTGTTTTCCCCTTGAAGCCCTGGAGAGAGAAAACAGCTGGGTGGGGGTCCCGGCTCCCGCAAGCAGACCGAAGCAGGCGACCCCAATCCCAGTCTCCGCTGGGGACCCCGACTTGCAGTGCCGGGCCAGGGGGGATGCCTACCCACCCCCTCAGGCTCAGCGTCCCCAGGAGCACGCGGTGGGACAGTCCCGGCTCAGGGGACACCCGGTCCTGGCTGCAGGGACATGCCAGGCACAGAGCACCAGGGAGAGGTGACAAGGAAAGCTGTCACTCACCGGAGGACCCATCATCCCTGGTGGCCCGGGGGGGCCGGGGTCACCCTGGGGAGAAAGAGACATGGGTTGGGGGTGTCCTGGGGGGGTTGCAGGGTGTTTGCCCCCCCCTGCCAGCACCTGGGAGAGCCCTGGAGCCTCACCCGCAGCCCCGGCTTGCCATCCTTGCCGTCCAGTCCTTCCAAGCCAGCAGGGCCCTACAGGGACAAGGTGAGGATGTCAGAGGGTGGTTTGCACTGAGGGGCTCTGGGGGTCCCTGAGGGACCTGCTCTGGGCACCCCACAGCATGGGAACAGGTCCCCGGGGAGTGGATCCAGCCAGCAGCGCTCCCGAGGAGCACAATGATACCGGTGGTCCTGTCCCCTCTGCCCCCAGGGGTGGCATAGAAGATGTCTTACCTGGATGCCTGGGGGTCCGGGGGGTCCGGGTGGCCCTGGCATTCCCGTGGGCCCACGCATGCCCTCACTGCCCTGCAAGAGCCACAGGAGGTCACGGGAGCAGCCTGGGCCAGGCACCCCTCTGCCACCCTGCAGAGGAGGGGCCAAACGCGGCCACCAGCCCGAGGGATGAGTGGTGCCACCACGCAGCCAGGTCCCGGTGGCACTCACCCACGGCACTCACCTTCTCAGCTGTGGGCCCCGGTGGCCCGGCCGGACCGACCTTCCCCGGGAAGCCGGGGGGGCCCTAAAGAGAAGAGAGACGTTGAGGTGGGGGGGGACGTCATGGCGGGAGAGCCCCCCTCCACCCAGCCTGTC